TATCGCGAAATTTCAGAATTAGATTCTTCGAGTAAGATTTCAGAGTCTAGTATGAGAAGAATAATCATACATGGTTTGATACTCGAATTTAGAAGTTTTATTATCGTGATACAAGGTTGGCTAGATCTACCTTCATTAGTTAATCTTGAAAATTTGCCGGTCGATCAAGAAGCGTTGACCAAACAAATGTTAGGGGTTTCAATAAAGAAAGAAGAAAAAGAAGCACTATATAATTATAAAAGAAGAGGTCGATCTTGTCAACAGAATAATAAAGAATTAAAAGAAAATAAACATGAAGAAGCTTCTGTGAAAAGGGGAGACAAACAAAGTTGTGACTAGAGAAGTAAATCGTCCAAGGGATTTCAACAGACTAGTGGCTAGTGTTTCGTGCAGAAAACTAGGCCATTATGCTAGAGACTATTAGTTTGAAAAGGAGCTAGCAGAAGACAATTTAACAACCTCCAACAAGGAAGAGAAATACAATAGTCAAGAAGAATGGGATGTTGAGGCATCCACAACAATAATTGAGCAGGTTGGAGATAAGAAAATCAATTCAAGTTTAAAGGACATATTAGCTTTGATCGTGGTCTTTTCTAAACAAATGGATTATGAGGATGATTGATTGATGACTTAGGAGAAGAAGATTGGATCGACGACCTAGGAGATGATATCATGGTTCATGAAGAGTCTTCTAGGCGGAATTCGCAGAGGAAGGAACTACCAAACTTAGAAAAAGCATTTGATTAAGTATATCTTTTGGAGACATGGAAGAGGGTGGAACAGACATTGAAAAGGATAGAGCTACTAGTTATACAGAAATTGAAAGATAAATTACAAGAAGAGATCACATAAGTACAAGAAAGCCATAGGGAAACAAGAGATGCACAAGGATCAAGTGACGAGAAGAAGCCTATTAGCACATTACAAAATTCTTGGTAGATGGATAAGCATCACACAACACTAGATGAGATTAAGCCAAGTCAAAAACAAGATATTAACGTATGTACAAATCGACAATCACAAATAAAAAAGTTGAATAGACATGAGGAATCAAGTAACAATTATATTAATATGAAAATTGATAAAGATGAAAGCTTGGAAGAGCAAGATATATTTGAAGCAGCAGATGCGTTAAGTGAAGGATCAATAGCTTCAAAACTTGTCGAGTTGATGGAAAAACTGGGTATAATGAAAAAAGAAAAAAGTTAAATTGAAAAGTCCGTGTTGAAGGGAAGAATTGAAGATGTAGCACCGTCTTCAAGGTGAAAATCTCTAGTATTTTCTAGTAAGGCTGCCCACCACCATATGAAGAAATTAAGCCCCCCGTTTGGCCTCCATCTTTTGAAATGAAAATGGGTGAAATAGTATTTTTTTGAAAAATGAGTGATTGAAATAAATGAAAAAATTTCGATTTACGTGTAATATTATTTATTGAAGATTGAGTGGTTGAAAATATGAGAGAGAATAATGAAATAAAATTGAAAAGAACAACAACTTTGGAAGAAGCTAGAATCATCCTTACATCATTCATCCACCGACATAGTAGAAGAAACTAGAATGCTTGCTAGCCACTGCCATAATAGAAATGTGTAGAAGAAGGAACCCACCATCATTGCTTCTCTATAAATATGTTCCTCCCTATGTAATATGTATGTCCGTGATGAGAAGAGAGAGTTGATAAAGGAGTGTATAGACAGGGATGGAGCCAGAGATTTCGTCCAGTGCGGACACAATTTTAAGTATCGGCTACGATGATTTTTTTTGGTTGAAATTAGTCTATAAACAAAAAGAGCTTCATGTGATCAATGCAAAGTACATTTTTTAACAACGGATAAGATGTTGGAGGTCCATTGTACAAACAATAAATTGATGGGCCAATAAACTCGTAATGGGGCCTATTGTTTTTTTTCTCAAAAAGCCTAACTAAAGAGAAGGCCCACAATCTAAAAAATAAAAAAATTGGCCCAACTAAACTCTTCTTCCTCCTTCCCTTCTTCTTCGCTATCGGCAACTGTAAGTGTAACTCTTTTTCCTCCTTCCCTGTCGGCAACTGTAACTCTTCTTCCTCCGCCACTGCCTGCAGACACACTTTTTCTTCTTCTTTCTTCCCTCTTCTCCTTCTTCTTGTCTTCTTGGTCCAGTGCAGGCACACTGGAGTTTCTTGTGTCCAGTTCGAAGTGTAGGCCGATGCCCGCACTGGACTTTATGTAGCTTCGCTCCTGTGTATAGATTCAACCAGTGTATGTATTTAGTAGAGTGAGAAAATCTCATTTGAGTGGATATAAAAGATTGTGGCTTTGGTGAGTGTGTATTCAAAATTCCATTTCATAAATAAAATTCAATTTTTAAGTTATAAACTCAACAATACATATATAGTTATTTGTCAATCCATACACGAAAGTATAATTTTCCATGATAGGATACTTTAGTTCTTATTCGAAATTCAGAGAGAATTTACACCAAACTCTATTGCAAGTGCAAAACTAAGCAAAAACTTTTATGCTGAACTGCTCACTTGGCCATAAAATAAAATTTCATTTCTTGCTTATGCCTTTAAATCTTATTGATACTTGACTCGGGATTACTTTAAGTTGCTAAATAACACTTGCCTCATCTTTCTCTCTCTCTCCCCAAGGAGGGGGGAGAGAGATTATGATGAACTCTGAATGAAATTGAAAAAATAGATGTTAGGTAATTTAAGAAAAATAAAACACGATAAAAGGAAAAGAAATTAAAACACCATTAATTCAGAAATTAATCTACTAATGCACTGATTAATAACTAAACACAAAAACTTAAATTTCTAGTTACTAATACAATAACCGTCAAGTTATGAGACTTTCATTAATACACATTAATTCTAGCATTAAACTTTATTGCAAATAATTGATATTCTAGCATTATATAACCCTTTCAGGTGTCCTAAGTTGTTATCAATCAAGATTGAATACCTATCGTTTACTTACAAATTGAGATGACTTTCAAATTTGTTCTCTTGGTTCTCCTTGGTGTTCTTATTTGCACCACCACTGCAAGAAAGCTTGTTGGCTCAGAGGGTTCTTTAGATGGAGATAAAAATTTCTCCCTTGGTCACTGGGATCTAGGAGGGCTTGGTGGAGGTGGGGGCGGAGGCTTTGGTGGAGGTGGAGGTGGAGGTGGAGGAACGGAAGGTGGTTTTGGTTCTGGAGGAGGAATGGGTGGTGGGATTGGAGGTGGTGCTCAAGG